CACCTGGGCTGCGAGGCACACGGACAGGACAGCCCCGAGGAGACCGGCCCATGGTCAGCTCTGATAGCGCACAGGGCGACAGGGCGGGCGCTGCTGACCTTGAGATTGTTGGGGTGCTTGTGTGTCCAAGCCAGCAGCATGGCCGCGAAGAGGTCACCGGTGCCCACGAAGACGGCGTCCACCCTGCGCATGTCCATGCGGATGCGCTGTGTCACCACCGAGCCCTCGGGGGTCCCTGGGGGCAGGACGCACATGACCAGGACTGGGGCCGAGAGGCCAGGGCCCGCGGCGGCCCGCGCCGTCCCCCGACCGTCCCCCATTCCTGTCCCAAGGGGCACGTGGCAGGCGGGAGCCCGGAGGCTGCTGCGGGTGCCTGTGGTCTGGAGCTGCAGAGTGGGGGCTGCCTGTGTCGGGGTGTGCAGGGCACGTGGGTCCCTGCATGAGCCCGGGGCAGCCGGGCGCCCGCCTCGGCTCACTTCCAGGTTGTGCGGAAGCAGCCTGCGTGGCACCCCACGCAGGCAGACTGTGGCCCAGCCGGGGCCTGCCCCAGCTGGCCGCTGCCTGAGCCCCGCCAGCACGAGCCTCCACAGCCCGGCCGGGGCACCCTGCTCCGGAGGCTGGGCGGACTCAGGACGTGGGCCCCGGGGTGGCTCCCTGCAGGGCCCCCCGCCCCGGGGAAGTCCGGGCCCACACGGCGCCGAGGCAGCAGGCCCACAAGGGACTCACGTGTCCGCTGGCTGCCCAGTGCGATCAGGTAGTCGCTGCCCCGAGGAGAGGGCAGGTCCGAGCTGGTGATGACCACCGTGTCGGGGCCCATGGAGTGCAGCACGTCCATCACCTGTGGGCAGCGGGCGTCAGCCACACAGGCCCCAGCCCACAGCAGGCGGGCGCTCCAGCGGGCGGGCGCTCTGGGCTGTGGTCCCTGGCCGCGGGGCCTCTGTCAGGGAACTGCTTTCCCCAGGGGGTGAGGGCTGACGCCCCCATCCCTGTGACCTGACGTTGGCAGGCCCGGCCCCCCAGGGCTGGCGCTGTGGTAGAGCGTCCTGGGGTACATGTGGCCCCAAGAGTGTGAACCCTCCTGGCAAGCGCTGCCAGACTGCTCGGGACGCGGCCTCCGGGGCTGCTGGGGCAGGCGCAGCCCCACGGGACCCCAGCCCTGCACACGTGTCCCACCGAGGGGACGGCACGGACTTCGGCCCCTCCCAGGGCCCGGCTGGCTGAGCCTGGTGTGGACAGGTGGGCGCCGACCGGGACGTGGGTGGGCACTGTCCCCCGCCAGGCCTCGTGGGCACCCAGAGGGCCACTTACCGCCAACGCCTCCTCCTGGCTGTGGATCTTCCGGCCACTCAGCAGCCTGGGAGAGAGCCGCGTGAGGCTGGCGCGGCCACACCCATGGGGTCCTCCCAGGCCCCGGGCCAGCAGGGCGCTGGTCAGCAAGCAACTCCGGCACGCCCGGGCCGTAGAGCCCCAAGCTGGGGCCAATGCCGCGTGTGAGTGTGTGGATGCGTGCCCCAGCCACCCTGCCCGCCATGGCTGGCGCCTCTCACGGCCCCACGGCACAGGGCCGGGCACCCCACCCTCCTACCGCGGAGACGCTGCCCGCCCGGCACCGGGGCCATGGGGCCTGGTCGGTGCCTTCGCTTGGCCGGGCCCCGGGCCCTGTGACGCTCACGCCGGCGGGGCCGGGGTATCCCCTGCGGACTCAGGGCGCAGCCTGGGGGCTCAGTTTTGGAGCCCCGGGCCTGGGCACCCCAACCCTGGACTCAGGGAGCCCCTCGTCCAAGGCTCGTGCTGTTCACGGACACGGCCGCCCCCCCCCACTGAGTCCTGCCGCTCCGTCCCAGGGGCTCCTGGGCAGCGTGGGGTGCCAGCTCGACCACTCACTCAGCCTCGAACTGGTTGGGGGTGATGATGTCCGCCACTGGCACGACCTTGTCCCTGTACACCGGCAGGAGGTCCTCGGGCACGTACTGCGGAGGC